CAACCCATCCCTGCCACTGGCCCTTCTTTGAAAAGGCATGACTTACAGGAATCAGCTAAGGAACAAGGTCCACTCAAGTTTCTCTCAATAATACAGGCTGCCACATGGCAGGAACTCTCCTGGCAATCAAACATTTTACAAAGATAGCTCTGGTGCTAGAAGTCTGTGGGCGTTTAATCCACCTCCTGCCTGATAGCCAGGAGCCGCCAGGCTTTGGGGTCAACCTGGGCCCTAGCGAGCTCAGCTCTATCACCTACATCCGTGGCTTACTAGTGGCCTTCAAGGGTCCTGGGAACGAAGCTGACTCTGCTCAGAGGGCTGGCGGAGGGGCTTGAAGCAAACAGAGAGGTAGCTGCTGTCTGGGAACTGCTTCATATGGGCCAAGCCCTCCTCGGCAGCTCTACACAGAAAGTCAGAGCCCAGAGCCACACCAGGCATGTCCGCAAGGGGGTCCCTCTCCATGCTCTCTGCATCCAGAGGCTGGATTTAAGCAGAGTGACTCCACAGGGAGCTGGCAGGCCACATCAGGGTACAAGTGAGCACTCCCAACACCTCCCCCTTGGCCTTTCTTCTTCCCAGCATTTCTCGTCACTTCTATCCCTCAGAAAGCCTGGGTCCTCGATGTTAGACTTTTCAATCACCCCAGCCTCCAACTCAGTCACCCTAAGCAGAATTAGATTTCTCAGCGGTGACAGAAATGACACCTGTCATGGACACTTCCTTGGCCAAGCATCACTTTTGTAAGCCCCCGAGTGATACTGACTTTTTTAAAGGCAGGGTGTCATCCCAAGGATGACCTCCCTGCTTCCCTCTCCCTCAAGAGCTCAGACTACTGACATGCACCGCCACACCTGATTTATGGGGTGTTGAGGGTTGCTAGCCCTGGCGTTAGACTTTTAAATCTTGAGTCTTTTACACACATTTTAAATTTTGACCTAGGGGAATATGTTTCTCCCCATAACGTTGCTAAGCTAAAAATGAAAATGCCATGGGCATGGTGACACACACCTTTATTCCCAGCGCTTGGGAAGTAGAGGCTGACAGATCTCTGTGAGTTTAAGGTCAGCCTGTCCCACATACAGTTCCAGGTCCTGTGGGGCTATGTCGTGGCAGCCTGTCTCAAAAGACCAAAAGCAAACTAGACACGATAAATGTTCTGAGCGGTGGGTAGATAGTGGGTCTACCTGCACACCGGCGAAAGCATCTTCGCAGTGACTGCTTCGCCACGGGCCTGGAAGTGGCGCAGGGATAAGCAGACTGGGGTAGTAGTAGTGTTCACATTTCAGGTCCCTTCATGAGCTGGGACACACAAGGCTGGGCTGAGCCTCTGGCCGTTCTTACACAGGGGCCCTTGCCTCCCAGCCAGGCACTTTAGCCGCTACAAATCAGGGCTGCCCCTGGAGCACTGTGGAGCCCGCTATCAGCCAGGCTGACCCTGTGCCTTATCTCAGTGGCCAGAGCAGACCCTGCCCAGCCTCCAGCTCAGATTAACATGGCACAGGAAGGCCAGTCCTGCCCCTCCCCACGACTGATGATGGATGGTGGGAGACTCTGGTGACCTGCTGTAGTTCCCAAGGGGTTTTTGTTTTTGTGGCTTTTCTTTCCGCGCTCGTGTGTGTGCGTGTGTGTGTGTGTGTGTGTGTGTGTGTGTATGGTATCTGTGGTTGTGTGTGTGTGTATGGTATCTGTGGTTGTGTGTGTGTGTGTGTGTCTGTGTGTGTGTATGGTATCTGTGGTGTGTGTGTGTGTGTGTGTGTGTGTGTATGGTATCTGTGGTGTGTGTGTGTGTGTGTGCGCGCGCGTGCGCGCGTGCACGCGTGAGCAAAGGAAGGAAGTGAGGATGGGAATAGAATGTAGAGCTGTCTCCTGCCCCACTCCCACCCCCAGCCTGGTCAGTGATGAGAGGCTCTGCAGGAAACACCTCAAAGTCACTGAGGGTGTCCCCCCATGAACGTGGCTCGCTGAGGTCTGGGGCCAGGAAGGAAGGAGCCAGGGCCAGCAAGCAAGGAAGGAAGAGGAGGGGCAGGGAGGGCACGGAGGTGACAGGCTGGCTGCCACCTACGGTCCCCTCAAACCAGGGTCTCTGGGGACAGCGTGTCTTGTCCCTAAGCTCCCTTCCTACTGGTATTCCATTGTACGGGGCTAACCCTCAGAGAGGAAGGGGACACAGGTTACAGCGGGTCCATGTCCCCAGTCTTGTGACTGTTTCAGCATGGCACACTGAGCCCGGGGGACAAGGAGAGAGACCGTCACAGAAAGCCTGGGGAGAAGTCAGGTGAGTTCTGAGAAGGGCAGTGTGTTACGAGAAGCCAGGCAGAGGCTGGGACCAAGGGGCAGACAGCAGGGGCTGGGCTTGGAGATCCAGAGGCAAAGAAGGTGGCTCCAAGCTCCCCTGCTTGGGAGAGGAGTAAAGAGTCTGGATTACAGGCTCCATCCCGTGGGCTGCGCGCTCTCTCTCTCTCTCTCTCTCTCTCTCTCTCTCTCTCTCTCTCTCACACACACACACACACACACACACACACACACACCAGTCAGACAATCGGTCAGTGAGTCCCAAGATAGCTTTGAGAGACAATTCATGTCCCCTCAAGCCTGACCTGGACGGCAGGCTAGTCGAGAAGATCCCCTAAGGAGCCTCGCTAGGTGATGGAGGTAGGACCACACCTCTCAGGGCTGAAGAGTCACCAGCCAGAGCCAGAAGCCTCTCATTGTCCCTCATGTCCTCAGTCTCCCTGACTGTACCCTTGGCCTCTGGCTACCTGTGACTGAGCCTTCGGAGGTGGCCCCAGACCCTAGTCACTGCCAGGCTCATAGGAACACATGCCAAGCTCCTTTCACAAGGTTCACTTTCAGCCAGGAAACCCAGATTTCCCTTTTCCAGGTCTAGGAGCCCTCAGGAAGGCGTTCTGGAGAATCTAAGGAGGATAAGGACCAAGTCTGCTCATGGTGTGTGATGCTGCTCAGCCTTGGGCACACCCTCTGAACCGCTGTCTCCGGACCAGACATGCCCACCCACCTCACGCTCTGCTGAACACTCAGGGTCCCATCCCTCTTCCACCTGGCCCCTGGCCCCATTGCTGCACCCCAGGTCACCTTCCAACATTGCAGATTATGTCCTGGCTGGGTCATGGGCTCATAGGCCCGTCCGAAGCCTGGCTTTATGGTTAGCTCCTGTTCTACCCTCCTCAGCCAGCCCTATGCTAGCTCCTCTGGCTGGAAGGCACTGACAACATTCCCATTTCACAGCTGGAAATACTGAGGCACAGAGAGGTATGGAGGCTTGCCTACAGACTCATCTAGACACTCAGCTCTGAGGCTCAGGTCGGGCAGGACAGGATGGGGGCCTGCTGGACCTGGTAAGGGGCCTGGGACGCACAGGTGTGTGTGTGTGGGGGGGAGGGTAAGGGCTCTCTGGGGAGCACTCGTCTGTGGGGAGCACTCGTCTGGGACCGGGTCTCCTGTTGTCTCTCAGAGCCCTGTCTGCACTGCCAGCAGGACTCTGATGGCCTCTGAGGGGTTCACGTGGGACCAAACAAGGACTTTTGGCCAGTGAATCATCCTTTCCCTACCCATATGACAGGGCTACCTCTCACACTCTGAACTCTAGGTTAGGAGGTTTCAAGGCCACTTGCCCTTCACAGGCCTCAGTTTCCCTACTAGCAGGAAGGACTGCTTATCGAGTGTCAACAGTTCCCAGCCTTCACCTCTGACTTTGGAGCCTGGGAACCTCAACAACTCATTTCCTCATTCCTGCCCGGCCTACCCCTCCCCACAGAGGTCTGCCTGTCCCCTGCTGGGCTGACCTGAGCCTGGCATCCAGCCCTGCCTGATACACACGGTGCTGCTACTGGAGTGGTCACACTGACCCTGACACCTGCTCCTGGGAGGAACTAAGAATTCTGGACATCCACCCCAGGGCTCCCAGCAGGCTCAGACATGGCTCTGTGCTCCAGTCCCAGCACGGGGAGAGGAGGCAGATTGCGCTGGACGTTAATTGCCCTCTGGCTGTTTACAGTGCAGGGAGAAGGGCCTGGGTTGCCCACTCGAACCCTGGTTTTACACCTGAGGATGGGAACTTCACTGGGACCCCAGGCCACCTGCAGGTACCTGACCCCACACAAGCCAGTGTCGGGGTCAGGCCCAGAGCTACAGGGGAACCCTGCTAGGGTAAGAAAACCAGCACAGCTTATGCCATCAATTCCCTGCCAATCCCCTCTTGGCTCTCAGGCTCCCTGGAAACTCGAGCCATCAATGCAAATAGGTCCCCAGCCTTGACCCTCAGGCTATGGACACATTTCAGCAGTTATATGAGCAAGTGTACTGTCTCCTGTTTCCAAGGCTAAAAGTGCATGCGTGATTACCTCCCCACCCACCACCACCACCCAGACACACGGTAACCTAACAGTTTCCCACCCACCACCACCCAGACACACGGTAACCTAACAGTTTCCCACCCACCACCACCCAGACACACGGTAACCTAACAGTTTCCATTGCTGGAAAGTCCCTCTGACATGAAACCTGACTACCTCAAGCTGTACAGGCAGTGTCCACAAGCAGAGCACTGCCCACGCCTTCTGGGCAAGCCCAGCTGGGTATCTGAGGTTAGTGGACCCAGGGTCCTGGCGAAGGGCTGGCTTTATTTTCTTGCCTTTTAAATGTGTTTGTTTTTACTTGATGTACAGGTGTCTGTGCATCACACATGTGAATGCTCACAGGGGTCAGACAAATGCATTTGGATCCTCTGGGACTGGAGTCACAAATGATCACATATTGTCATGCTGGTGCTGGGAACTCAACCAGGACCCTCCTAGAGGAGGGGGGCAAGTGCTCTTCAGCCCTGAGCCAGCCTCGGTCTGCAGCTACAGGCAGGGGATTTTCCAGCTCAGGACTTGGGACAATCATCAATCATCCAGTAGTCAGCAAAGGGCAGACCTAGCAGCTAGCCACCACCTTCCAGCATCACCATCCCAACCAGCTTAGCTTGCCCAACTGTAGGCACTATTTTAATTCACATTTATTTTTAGAATATTTAGCTCCTTGCTGTAGTGGGGATATGCTGGGCAGTTAGAAAGGGAAGTCCTCTCTGGCCTGAAGTCCTGCAAGGAGCCTCAGCCACCCCAGAAGACTCCCCCACAAATGCCTGGGATGCCTCCCCTGGCTGAGCACTCAAGCAACTGAGACCAAAAATTCCATGGCTCCAGGCCTCAAAGCTGGGGTAGGGCCAGAGTGACTCACTGGGCTCCCAACTTGGGGTCAGTCACAGGGAGGGTGACGGAGCCTCCGCCCACCAGGCTCCTGCTTGTCATCCAGCCCTAGATGCAGGTGATAAGCACATCCACAGAGGTGGGCACTTCGATCTCTTCAAAGAGCACACGGTGTGGGGAGGACGCGACCTCGGGGGCTGTCCTCAGCAAGCCTTGGGTGTGTTGCAACAGATTCTGGTTCCTTCGGCGTCCTAGTCTACGCAACGCCAGAATGGCCAATATATGGTCACGCCTGTGGGGACATGGGGGTCCTTACTGCAGAGCGGTGTCCCTGGCACCCTCCAGCCCTACCTTGGGCCCCCAGGGAGGACCAGGAACCCAGGCTTGGGAGGAAGTATGATTCAGCCAGCATTCTTGGAGCTGGGTCACAGAGGCTGAAAGGCCCGGATCTACCGAGGATAGGAGGGGATGAGGGCTCTAAAAGGAGGCGGGATCGTGGACCTGCACAGCAATTGAACCTAGAAGCACACAGGCATGAGAGGGGAGGGAGCATGCGCACAGTAGAAAGAAGCCTTGCCCTGAGGCAGAGCAAGGAATCTAACCTAGGGAAGGTTCCAGAAAACGGCAGACCTCTAGGAAGGTGGAGGCCAAGTTTCAGGCTGGGGACTGCCCTCGTAGTGTGTACGGCAGAGCAGCGGGGGGGGGGGGGGGGAGAGGCCGAAGGGGGGGGATGAGTGGGGAGGAGGCAGGTACAAAGGGGCATGCTGAGTCACTGCCTCCCCTCTGGTTCCCCACAGCCGTCCAGGGCCGCCCTTGGAGCCAGGAAGAGAGGGCCAAACCCGGGCTGGGGAAACTACAAACTTAGAAGGGGTCCTGTGAGATCATCACCCAGATCCAAAATCTGGCAAAACACACCGGCTGCTCGCAGCCAGGAGCCAGGGAAGGGGCTGGACCAGGGGCTTTCGGCGGCCTTTCCATCCCGGAATCTCTGAGCGCATTGGAGAGGATCGAACCGGGATTTCCACGGGCTTAGATGACTCAGTGACCCGTGCAACCCCGGGTCCGAGCCTCCTTCCCGTCGAGGCCTCAGAGGGATTCCAGAGAGGGTTTGCGCCCGGGGAGGGGGGGGGTGTCGCGTTGTCCACGGGTGATGGAGAACACGAGGACGAGATGACCCTTTCGCCTACGCTCCCCGTGCCCCTCCCTCGTGCACATGCGCACACGGGTCCGACGAGGTGCTCTTCCCGGGTAGAGGCTCATTTCTCTCAACCCGGACAAGATTGCTCCTCCCTCTGCTCGCACTCAGAGTCAGCAGTGACCCCTGACTCTCGGTCAGACGCTAGTGGGGGAGGAGGATCTGCAAACCTGATGTCTGGGTAGCTCTGTATAAGCGTCTCCAGGTGCCGCCGGATGTCGTCTTTGTAGGTCTCGCCCAGGATCTCAGCCACGCACAGGATGGCTTGGTCCAGCCACGTGGCTTCAGAGCCCTGGGCAGGGAGGGAGATGTGTGCCATGGTCCACTCCTTCATGGAGTTCCTTGCATACAACACCCCCCTCCCCGGTAAGTGCCCTGCTGCATCCATCCCTTGTATCTGCCGCCCACGGGGGCAGGGGACAGAGCCAGCATCTGCAGCGATTCTCTAGAGATGTCTTCTTGCCTGTGCAAACGGGAAATCCTAGTCCTGACCACGGAAGTGCTGCATGGAAACTGTCATCAGTAGGAGACCAGCAGCTCAGTTATAAGGGGTTTGGGCATGGCTCCAAATGATCCGAGTGTCTGAGTGGGAAAGACCTCCAGAGATCTTGCCCATCATAACCCTCATCCCGTCTTGATCTACACTGTATGCAAATATAATGTAAAGCGATACCCTCAACCGTGCCCACTCGAGCCCAGCCCCCTGCCATCTTCCCAGTGGGATCTGAAGAACCGCCTGGGGTAAGGCCTCTTCTCAGCTGCCCACCCGCTCCTGCCATGGGGGCTCTGGGATGAGAAGAAGTGAGAATATCAGGTGCCTGGCTCATCAGAGACTAAGCCCTGCTTGACATGCAGATACTGTACCTACCAAGCCCTGGAAGGTGCTGCTAATGGCTTGGGCATCCAGGCTCATCTTATGGGAGCCGTTCACACGATCCAGGCCACTGAACCTCTCGTGGGGCCTCAGCACCTGCCCCAGGTACTCGCGGACCACAAAACGGTGCACCTCCTGCAGCGTCTCCTGGGAGAGCGAGGCTAGGGTCAGGATCAAAGGCGTGGGCCCTGCACACCCATGCCAGCCGCCCCGCCCCACTTCAGCCCGGTACCTGTGCCAGTGGTGGGGTCACATGCTCAAGGTGACGCGCAAAGTCCACCACCTTGTCCACGAGGGGGCGCAGCGTGTCCTGTGTGAGCCAGCTCCTGGTGTATAGCGCCTTGAACAGTGGCTGGGGGCAGAGGGAGTAAGATGTTTACCCTTGGGTCCCATGTACCACGCCATTTCCTAGGCACAAATTTCATCCCTGGGCCTCTCCTCCAGTGCGCCTGGTTTGAGTTTAACGATTTGGCAGGCCCTGCTTAGGGTGTGTGCTGAATACAGCTCAAGTGACTGGTCAAGGGGCTCTAGGCCATACTCCTTGACCCACCATCCCAGAGTGTTCCGTGTTGGTCACTGAGGAATTACAGAGAGATGGCAGGTGTTTGCCCAGTGCCCTCGCTCATCTGGGAACCCGTTTAGGACAAATGAATGAATATTGGGAACTAAGTCTGGACCATCAGGGCATGGGTGGGCGCTGCTGGGTGTGCGTGGAAAGGGTTCAGTCACCTGCACGTCTTGCTGTACAATCTGGAGCAAATGCTTCTGGAAGCTTTTGGTGGCAGCCACCAGGGGCTTCTCCAGTTCCTTTATGGTTCCTGGGAACCTGGCCAGAAGGCTGGTTCTGGGGAGGGGCCAAAACAAGTCCTGAGCTGGGTAAGGGGAAGCAGGCTGGGAAGTCACCTGAGGCGGATGAAGCAGGCACGGAGTACCTGATGAAAAGTGCTCGCAAAGAGCTCAACGCATCGAGGTCCCAGGGCCTCAGCAAGCAGGCTCTGGCTTTGTTAAAGAGGCAGAGATGGTGTCCCTGGGCACACAGCCAACAACAAGCAACGCTGGAATCCGAACCCACAAGGTGGCCCAGATCACACGCCTTCTGCTGAGGCCTGTATCCCCCAGATTAGCATATCGGTGGGGAAGAGGGCACCCGGTGTGTTTGGAGGTCAGGGTACTCCGCCAACAGAGGGCCTTGCCTTCTGAACGTGGAGGTGCCCGGGATTGCCCAGGATGGGGGCAGCTTTTCCGAGGAGGAGGTAAAACTCAGAAAAAAGAACGGAATGGGATGGAGGAAATAAACGGGGAGCCCTGGGACCAGGAGAGGCCCGGATCTCCCTGAAGCCTCACATTCGTTCCAGGGCCCTAGCTCTGCTGAACACGTTAGGCCAGGGCAAAGAGGGGACGATCCCGGGAGGCCTTGGGCAAACCCACAGGAATCCACACTCAGGAGGTCCCTGCCTCGCCCTATCCCGCTGGGGCCACCCTCGCCAGCCCCAGCCCCTGCTGCTTCGGATCCCTTTTCCTGAGTTCGCGCGCCTCCTGCTGGCAGTGCTTGGCAACGCCCTGGAGCTGGGGAAACTTACCTCATCTCCATGCAGGAGTTAATGTAGGAGCCCAGGTAGCACTCGCTCACCGCCTTGGACGCCAGGAAAGCCTTTTCAAACCTGGGGACCAGAAAGGATCGTGTCTCTGACCTCTTAGGTCCTCACCAGTGACGTGGGTCTCACACTCAGGTCATCGCTGGACCCCACCCACCGGGGCTGAGAAAGCCACCCGCACCTGGGCACAAAGAGGCAGAGCGCGCGCGCGCAGATCTGCAGGGTGGTGGCCTCCAGCTCCGAGGAGATAGCGCCGGCCGCCTTCACGTGCTCAGCCACGAGCTGTCAGGGACGCCACACGCTGAGCGCAGTTGAGTCCCGAACCAGCCCGTGCCACCCCCACCCCCAGAGTCCACTGGCAGAGCTGAGAGCTGTAACCTAGACTGGCATGTGCTTCAGGGGCCTCGATCACCCCACAGTTCCCTTCTCAGTGTAACTTAGCTCTGAGGGATCTCCGCGGGTTGCCTGAGGTCAGAACACAAAGCCCCTCCTGGCCCCTCCCGTGCGCACCATGTGCACATCGATGGACAGGGGCGCGTGGTACAGGCCCTGAAGCACTTCTGGGTCTTCGCCGGCTTCCCAACGCCTCTGCTCCAGCTGCAAGATGCTGTCAAAACAGCTTGAGATCTTTGTCTGCGGGGGGGGGGTAGGAGCGGGCTGCGGGTGAGCTTGCCAGGAAGAAGGTAAGGGCGCCCCCTGCCTTCCAAGTCCCATTTTGCGCCTTTCAGGGACTGGCCATCCCTGGACCCCAACCACAGCCCAAGCCTGCAAGTACAATCCCAATCCTCACATAGAACCCAGCCTCTGGATCCCGGAGCCTCCAGCCTCACCTCTAGGAAGCTAGTGTAGTCACTTTCCAGTCGGGCCCACAGCGCGGGCTCTAAGAGTGGGGGCAGCGGTTCGGTGGGCAGCGCCAAGTCTGGAGCACCCAGGAAGTTAGGACTGAAAAGCAAGGGGAGAGGTTGAGGACCTGAGCATGACTCTGATGCCCACCACTTGCCTCCTGTCCCTAACCAGGCTCAAAGTCTAAAGCCATCATTAGGGCCCTGAACTCTGTTTCTGTTGACACAGTCCATTCCTCTACCCTTCAGAGGTCTATGCCATCACTTCCTTTCCCAGAAACCTCTGACAGCTGGGTTGGACTTCTTGGCACTCCAGCTTCCAGCTGGGCCTGCTCAGAGTGGTTAAGGAGCTGTTCGGATGGATGGACCTCTGCCACATTGCCTCAGTGTGACCTCTACCCTCGTGGTTAGCCTTCATTCTAGAAGGGGCTCTAAGCACCGCCCCCCCCATATGCATCACCATCTAACCCAAGTCAGGGTGCCCAAGAATAATGGCCTGACCACAGCAATTTAAACGGGCCAGGATTTTGTAAGCCTTCTGCCTCGTCTCCCTTAGGCCTCTGGCAAAGCTGGGACCCAAAGCACCCTTGTTACACAGCACGTTCCAGCGATGGAAGCCCCTATCAGACTGCAGGCTGCGTATGAATGCTCATCCAGATGGAAAGCAGGCTGAACCCACACCCTGAGTGGTACTCTGCCTGGAAAGCCAGTGTATTTGCAGCCACCTTAATGGCTAGCATTGCCCTCTGGGGCTCCTGGCTCCGGTGGGAAGCGCACATAAGAGACATCCTAGCTTTGGGAACCTGTATGATCCCTTAGGAAAACCTGGGTGGGACCACACAGCCTACCGCAAAAGAAAGAATAATAAAGTCCCCAGTCTTCCTGGCACCCCATCGCCTTTGCCAGCAAAGGAATGAGGCAGAAAGGGGCCCCGTGTTCTTGCAGAGGTCTTTTCCTAAGGTCTCCTGGTGGGTAATGGTGCCCGCCCCTGCCTTAAGTACTGTGTCTCGGGCCTCACCTGCCATATACATTGGCGGCCCAGTCTAAAAGCACATAGAGCTGCTCACAGCCGCGGGCGTCTCGCGCCAGCTCCTGCAGACGCTGGGCCACCGCGCTGTGGAAAGCACGCAAGTAGGTCTCCCACACCGGAAAGTCGGTGGCTTCGTAGGCGGGCTGCATCTCTAATCGCACCTTCTGTAGGTCGTGGCGGACGACGCTACCAAGCTCAGCCAGAAGCTGGGCTAGGTCTGACGCGCCCTCCGCAGCAGCCCCGGGGGCCACTTTGCCGCCTGCCTGCTGCACGCGCTCCTGAGCGCTGCGCCGCACTGCGTCTTCCCAGTGCTGGCGCCAGTGGCGGGGCGTACTCAAGAAGTCACCCTCGGCTTGGGGGGCCTGATGGGCCTCCTCTTCCAAGTGCACCACTTGGGCCAGTTCGGCTAGAGCGTCTCGATCCACGCCTTCAGAACCCAGGGCCTCACGCACAATGGCTCCGATCTCTGCAGCCATTCCATCGTAATGTATGCAAAGGTCCATAGCGCGCCGCGCATAGGCGGTGGGGTCCTGCGCAAAGGTGCGTGAGGTTTTGTCTGCTACCAGCTGTGTCTCCAGGTACCGCAACTGTTCGAAGGCTTTCACTAGTTGCCGCTCAGTGATGAGGTCTGTCACGGATTTGCTTTCTGCAAGCAGGGATGAGAAAGGGGTCAATGACAGTAACCAACCAACCCAGGGTACTGGTACCAACTTAGACAGCTAGCTTGCGCTCAGAGACTTGGGCTGGGCTGCCTGGCCACTGCCCAGATGTTCTGCACGCCATTGAACTGCTCCAGCTGCCAGAAATTCTTGCTTAGAGTCAGGGCCCCAAATCTGACTGAAAACAACTTGGGTCAGCTCCTAGCTGCTACAAGTATGGCTACATGTATGGCTATATGGACCCGCGCCTTCCCTCTTGCACACACACCCCATCCTCACTCCCATCTCTGCTGAGCTGGCACTGGTGACCTCAAGTGTGGCCGTAATTGCAGGTCTAATAGGTTCAGAGCTCAGCTGGGTGTGTCCTGCCCTGGCGTCCAGAGTCAGGCCTTGAGCTGTACAGCTTTCTGCCCTCCTGCTGCTGAGTTCTCTTCTTCTGCTGGATCCCTTCTTGAGAGTCTGGGTCCACTGTGTGATGCCCTGAGCAGTCCCCCCAGCTGCCCCTCCAGGTAACCTCTGTGACCCAGTGGTCTGAGAGGATCAGCACCTAATACTTAGGATGAGTTTGCTCTGGTCTCGAACCCCGCTTCTCTTCTAGTTAGCCATAAGATACCAAGCAAGTCACTTAGCTGAGCCTGACTTTTCTGTCTGCTCAATGGGTGCCTTGGGCTTCCCTTGCTAGATACTGGCAGGGTTTGTGCAGAAGGCAGGATCCGGGTGAGTTAGACCTTAAGGAGCGTGTGTCAGGACACCTCGGCTCAGCTCCTGCCTTTGTGTCCTCAGTTTCCTCTCACAGTGTCCTATGAGACCCTACCTGCCTGGGGTTCCAGCTCCTCAGGCCCCATCCCTGTGGATGCCCGCCGACTGACACCGTCTGCAACCCTGGAAGGCTTCTCTGGCACAGCAGTGACTTGAGGGAACCCAGCAGCTAGGCCTTCGTCCAGGGCCCGACGCAGGGACCGTAACAGGAAGCGGGAACTTCGCCTGATTAGGCCCGGGTCATCCTTGGGCTTGTGGGTGGAAGGTGGGGGCAGGCTGGTCCGGAAGAAGGTCCGCTTCAGGGTGCCCAGGCTGGGTTTCAGGGCGTTCCCATGCTGTCCCTTTGGCTCTTTCATACTGTTGGACTTCCGGGTGCCCTGTGGCAGGGTCTGTGACTTCCCGAGCTCCTTGGGGCTTTGGAGCTCTGGCCCAGGGGTCACTGTCCGTGGCAATGGCATCTTGGCAGCAGGAAAGCTGGTGTTGAGAAAGCAGCTCAGGAGGCCTGGAAGGTTCCAACCCAGGAGGCAGACACAGAGTCCTGGGTAAGCTCCCTGGGGCTCACCCAGCAGTGCAGGAAGGCGGATCTCTTCTATGGAAAAGGAAATAGCTGCCAGCTACTGGACTGGTCTGAGCCCTCTACATGCTGGAGTGCAGCTGGTGCTAAGATACAAACAGCTATTGCCAGCAGAATCCCCCTGGTGCCGTCCCCAGAAGGCGCCCACCTTTCATTGGGACTGAGTGATTTCCACCCAATTAGAAGGACTATTGAGCATGCATATTCTGGGAACCAGCCCAACCCACAACCCACAAGGGCAGGGTCTAGTACCCATACCCCAAACTTCTACAATTTTAGAGTCTAAAGCCAAAACCTGCCCCCATCCCTTCCTCCCACAGTTCCCCTTTAGCTCTTCCAGAGAGCTGGGCTCACCTCTTTCAGCACAAAAGGCAGGATCCCTTCTGCTCCAACAGGAACCTCCTGAAGCAACTCCCTTCCTAGCCTCTGTGGAGCTGGAGGAGGGTATGATGACGCCCTAGGGCGCTAGCCTCCAGACACCCAGCCACTTATCTTTACCAGGCAGCCTGGAGGGGAGGTGGTAGGAGCGGCTTCAGGTCTATATTTAACCTGGAGCTGAGGAATCCCTATATATTTCCTACCTGCTGCTCATCCCCCAGCTTCCCCACACAGAGTGTGGTAGTGGTCTCAAAATCAGGAAGACACAGCTCAAGCCCCTGGCAGGCACCAGCCACCTCCATATTCCCTTGCAACTAGTAAAGCTTGGCTGTTTGCTCCTCTGACTGTATGTTTAGCTGGAGGTGGCAGAGGAGAGACAGTCTTCCTGGCCACTGGAACCTCCTGCTACCACATTGTGCAAGCCGGGCAGGGGCGGGGGATGGAACTGGGCTGGCAAGCTCCCCCTATGTCCATGGAGAGACCGAACCAAAAGAAGTTCGGGCTGGACTGGGCTGAAACGATGGCTCCTAGTTGCGATTACAGAGGACCCAGGTTCAATTCCCAGTACCCACACAGTGACTCACAACCATCTGTAACTCCAGCTCCAGGGCAACCAATATGCTAACTCTGACCTCTGAGGGCACCAGGCATACACATGGTACACAGATATACAGGCAATCAAAACATACACACATAACATAAAGCAAATAAATCTTTAAAGGAAGGAAGGGAGGAGAAAGAAAGAGCAAAAGAGAAAGGCTAGATTGCGCAGAAGCATAGCTCCCAGCCCTCTTCGGGCTCATCACCATACCAGGACAGATCCAAGCAGGAGCTGGGGCCAGACCCCTGGGTGAGTCAGGAAGGAACTGCCCTTCCCTGGGACTTAAGGTATGCTGGACAGGGGCCAGCCCCTAGGCTCTAGCCCTCCAGCAAGGTATCTGTCAGAGTCAGCTGAGGCCTATATCTTGCAGCTCCAGAGGCCACCAGCAGCTTCAAGGAAGCCCAGAGGACGGAGGGCTGACGGAGGGCCGCTCAAGCAATTGGTTGGGGCCTTATCAGCTCCACCCTGGTCACAGGTCATTAACCTGCCCTGGCACCCAGTTCAGTGATTCCGCTCCGCAAAGATCTGACCCACACAAGGCAATCTCTGGTCCCCTTCCTCTGTGGGGCCCTTCAGAGCCTAGTGTGGGAGATGGATGGCACCTGTCCTATGTTCTCTAGGCTCCCTGACACAGGGGTGTGGGAGAGGACAAGGTGGGCCCTGCCTTGGCTGTGGAGAGTTCACCTGTGTCTACTAAGCATCTACTGTGTGTTCAGCCTAGTGCTGACCCAGAGCTCATCCCCAGGACAAAAAAAAAAAAAAAAAAAAAAAAAAAAGCTGGGGAGTCTTATCTGCGCCTTTTGAGAAACTGAGGCTCACAGAAGAGCCTCAAGCCACTCAGCCGTGTCTCTCCAGAAGTTAGGGACAAAGGGTGATTGGTGAGTGTTTGTGAGCACTAGAGGGTCAGGTGGTACCCCAAAAAGCTCCTTTCCCTGTGAGGACCCCAAGACAGGAGCTAGACCCGCTGCCCCTTGCAGGGGAGTCTGGGGACAGATTCTAGATGAAGGACACATGAATTTCATGGCCGATGGCAGGGAATCTTTGGGCTCACTCCGGCTGCTCTACCGTCCTCACTCATATCAAAAGAGGCCCGCACTGCAGGGCCATCAGGGCCACCATCTGCAGCCATGCCACTCCTGGCCTCTGCAGCTCTCAGCGACCACCCAAACCGTTGACCTCCCCGGTCCAAACGGGTCACTCCCCTCTTTGAAAACCACCTATGATGACCTAGTACCCTCAAGCCATCCGAAGCCCCTTAGCCGAACATTCAGGTGCCCTCCTTCTGGATTGAGAACATTCAGGTGCCCCCCTTCTGGATTGAGAACATTCAGGGGCCCCCCTTCTGGATTGATCTTTCTTTGCCTCACCCCTGGTCCCCAGGTTACTCACCTTAGCCCATGGGACCCATCCATCCTGCCGAGAGTACAGTTCTTGGTTCCCCCTCAAGTGTCCCCTCCTGATCCCCACTCAGGACCCAGGGAGTCGCCTACCTCCAAAGAATGCTCAGCTTTGTGTCATGTGCTCAGTGGCCCCTGGACTGTGATGTAGCTTCTCCCAGGCTTGAGAGTCTGTCTGCCTCCCTTCTCCTTCACCCCAGAGCACTGTTCACAAGCATGCACTATTAGTGTGAATGTGTGCTCCCCTGAGGCTGGCCTGGCGGGGTGTCACCCTGGTGTCCACTGTGCTGCTGGGCTGTGGACCCCACCCCATGCCTTCCCCTCTGTTGGCCACCAGGCTGACACCCGGCTCTCTATCTCGGGTCCACATTGCTGTCATTCCCTGACTGGAGTCTGGTACTAGGCCCCAAGAGTCTGCAGTTCCAGGCCAGCCCAGGCCCTGGGCTCACCTCTTTTCAGGTCAAACTACAATCCCAACAGCATGGCCAGGGCAGGGGCAGGGAAAATCACCATGAGCCACTCCAGCCATGACCACGAGGTTACTTCGAGACTCTATAATTTCCTAGACTTGCTTCTATCCATTGCTAGACCTTCCCTCTCGTGTCAGCCGCCACACTCTGTTTTCCTCCATGACAAACCACATCCTTCCTGCCATCCCCTATCCTCCAAAGCCCCAGGAATAGACACTGCAGAGAGGCTGTGGTCCCTTGCCCTGAAATGTCCCCTGCAAGCTAGGGGCCCTTTCCTGAAAATACGGGGCAGGACAAGAATATACAGGGTTTCAATCCTCCTCAGTGTTTCCCTACAAGATGTAGTCAAGACAGCCAGCCAAAGAAAAACAGTAACAGCCGCAAATGTCAGAGAGGAACGGTTCAGATTGCTGCTTTAATTGTTTATGTCCGTCTGCCTAAAAAATCCCACAGTTGGGTATGGTGGGCAAGCAAAAGAGTTTGGTAAATTTCATATGTTCATTGTGTAAACATGACCAATAGCTGTCTTATATGCCAACCAAACCTATTTTAAAAAAGACACAGACTCCCTTCACAGTTGCTAAAATACAAACCACCCCTGGGTTACCATCATCCATAGAAGTGCAGACTTCTGAACTTGGCATGCAAGGCCCTTTCTGGGGTTTGTTGAGGGTTACCTGTCACTTGTCACTGTCCTGTCCCTCCTGTCTGCTCGGAATCATCCCTCCACCACGCTGTTGTGTGAGTCGCCTCTAGCAGTGACCTGAGCTCTTCCGGCTGCCAGCTCCTCCGGGCTGTCCCTATGAGTGCCTAGCTATGTGGCCTGAGATGTCTCTGCCACTTGACCAAGAGCCCTGGGGAGCATGGAATGAGCCTGGCTCAGAGCTACGAAGGGCCGGTAAATACCATATGTGCGAGGAAAATAAAGTGGCGACATGACCGTGAACCTGGGGTACATCCACACTTAGGTGAGCATCAGCTTCGCACACCTTCATGCTGGCCCTAGCGCCTCCCTCTGTGCGCACAAGTAAGCGCACGCGCAAGTGTGTGTGTGTGTGTGTGTGTTCTATAATACGTGTGTGCGCCTCTGCACATGTGTGCGTCCTGTGTCTGTGTGTGTGTCTGCATGCCTCATGTGTGGCTCTGCTCTCTGTGACTGTGTGCAGCTGTCTACATATTCAGATGTGTGTGTATCTTCTGTGACTGAGCTGGCCTGGCTTGGAATCCAGGCCCTGGACGAGAAAGGTCATTAACAGAGCCAGAGCAGTCTCCACCCTCCTGCCCCAAACACCCTCCACCCTCCTGCCCCACCTGACTGTGTCATACCTGGTTTGTGAGCAGACAATTGTGCCCAGGTGGAAAGGACCCTGGGGAAGGCAGCCAGGCAGGATCCTGAGACCAGGTTGAGGCAGGAGGCCTCCAGAACTGCCCAATTGATCACCAACAGCTGGGACTTCCCAGCCACAGGACCGCCCAGGCCCACTCTACGCAGACCCCTACTTTCGCTTTCAGAAAAGTTCCGCCCCTGCCATTCCAGAGACAACTACTCCAACCTTTGATCAGTCACAGCCCAGAGCTAGCCTGAGCCTGACGTGGACAGACTGGGGAGGGGAGATTAGGGAGGGCCTTAAGGGAAGCTAAGGAGATGGAGATTAGTGGAGGAGGGGTCATGAAGGTGGAGTTTAGGGAGGGTGGCCCTCGGTCTCAGCAGTGGGGTAGGAGCTGCTGGGGACCGCTGAGGACTGTCAGACCCTCACTGCCAGAGGAAAGCTAGATGGGGGGCTGGGGAGCACTCAGCCCCCTAGAGCCCAAGTCCAGAAGCATTCCTCTCTCCAGGGAAGGTTCCAGCTCCAGGCCAGTCTAGGAAGTCCAGTCCCATCTTTACCTGCCAGAGCTGGGAGGCCAGGGCAGGTAGGAAGACTTGTTGGGGAAGTTTCCGGCCATGCCTGGAGGAACAGGTATGAGCCACACGCTGCTCCAGAAAACTTAGCGTGCTGGAAGGAGAGGGCCCAAGGAACCAAGCAAGGGTCCCTCTCAGGAAACAGCCTTCTAGGCAGAGACAGTGTCCCAAGTCACAGCGTCCGGGGGTGGCCACCATGATGACTTTGGAACTCAGGGGAAATCCAAGGACACATTCGGGCGTGTCCCATCCTGCACTGGATGTAGAATGGATGCCCCAGAGTGTTGTGAGGACACAGCCACACACAGGTCATACCCTCCCCGATCTGGGCCTGAGGGCTGAGGTCTTGGTTCTGAGGCTTTCTTCCTGGTCTGCAGGGTACTTTAGTTTTTTGTTTGTTTGTTTTTAACCTGGAGACTGGGTCGCACTATGCATCCTTCGATGGCCTGTAGCTCACTATGTAGGCAAGAGTGGTTTTGAATTGACAGGAATTGCATTAAAGGCATGAGCCATCACAAACGGCCCCGGTTTTGTGTGTTCTTTCTTTTGTGTCTCCTATTTTCTCTGTATGTTGCCCATGAGGTCACCCTAATAACGTCATTCTTTGCTTTTCTCTCTCTCTCTTTTTAATGTCTTTGTTTTGAGACAGGGCTCCTTTGTGTAGCCCTGGCTGTCCTGGAACTCTCTCTTTCTCTCTCTGTAGACCAGGCTGGCCTCAAACTCAGATATGCCTGCCTCTGCCTCCTGAGTGCTGGGATCAAAGGCCCAGCTTCTTCCCTTTTTGGGGGAGGGGTCGGGGGACAGGATCTTATGTAGCCCAGACTGTGTAGCTTCAAGTTTTTATTCCTACATATGGCTAATAGCTAAGGCAGCTCACTGCCGATTCCCTGCAGGAGGCTACACCCTCACTTGGGTGGGTCTTCCTTCTGTTACTCTCCCTACAAGTCTACTTACGTAAGACTTACTCTCTCCTGGCCCTCATGTGTAACCCTATATTAAAGTACCTGCAATAAAAATCCCCAACTCTCCTTCAGACTGGCTAGTCCCCAAATTCTCTTCCTCTTAAAGCCATAAGTCTCGGTTTGGCATAAGTTGTGGTTAGCAAAAGATGAGCAGAATCTTCAGGCTGATGAAGACAACTTCAAGCTACATCTGTCTCTTTCTGAGCTGACATAACAGCCTAGCCAGCCTGATCTGTTTTTAACTGGTTATCTTTTCAAAGACCCTGTCTCCAATAAGGTCACATTCTAAGGTCCTGGGGCTAAGAGTCCAACATATGAATAATAGATTGGAAGATACTGGGCATGCTATTTGAAGACAGGCCAAATCTGACAGGTGCCATTGGCACCTCCTCCAGGATGCCCTCTGGCTAATCACTTCTTCAGTAAGGATCAGCCCTAGGCTCCCTAGGTGCCATGGTGTTGTAGAATATTAGTTTAAGAGGTGTTCCATTTGTTTGTACTGTGGAATGTGGAATGTTGGAGGATTTTTTTTCCTTTTTCTCTTTCTTCCTTTCTTCGTCTCTCCTGTCATCTCCCAAATAACCACACGGGGACTTCTTATTAATGATAAAAACTTGGCCAATAGCTTAGGCTTGTTTCTAAATAGCTCTTATAACTTAAATTAAGCCGTTTCTATTGATGTGCTTTCTGCCTTGTGGTGTTATTGCCTTTACTCTGCCCATGCTGCTTCCCTGATTCCTCTCTTGTCTGTCGGGCTACTTCTCATGACTCCACCCTTCTTCCCAGCATTCTCTCTGCCCCCAGAAACCCTGCTTAGCTATTGTCCATTTAGCTTTTACTAAACCACTCACAGTGAAATACCTTTCACACAGTATAAAGGAATATTCCACAACAGTGGAATATTTTATAATGTGTTGCGTTCTTTCATGCTGCATTTGTTTAACTCTGTGAGGCTATGTTACTTTGTCTGCCTAAAACACCTGGTTGGTCTAATAAAGAACTGAACAGCCAATAGCTGGGCAGGCTAGAACTAGGCGGGGCTGGCAGGCAGAGGGAATAAACCGAAGGAGAAAAACATGAAAAAGGAGAGAAGCAAGGAGAAGGAGAGGGCATCGGGGCCAGATACCCAGCTACACAGCCAGCCACAGGTAAGAAGAAAGGCACACAGAACAGCGAACGACAAAAGCCCAGAGGCAGAAGGTAGACAGGGTAATATAAGTTAAGAGAAGTTGGCTAGAAACAAGCCAAGCTACGGCCAGGCATTTGTAAGAAAGAATAAGCTTCCGTGTGTTTATTTGGGAGCTGGGTGGCAGGCCCTCAAAGTGCCAAAAAGAGTAAAAAAAACAACAACTACAGAATGTGATGGTGGAATCCCAGTCCAGGGTCAAGAGTGTCCCAGCCAGCACTGTGCCTTCCCTCTTAGCTCAGCCTCATCTGCCGATTGGCTCCCTGTAAGGGTCTGCCCTGGGTTCAGGGACCTACACCCACCACAACATGGTCAACCAGAGAGACCAGGACTCTGTCCAAGTCTCCAGGCTCAAATGACCTGAAGTCTAGCCTCAGATGTCTGAGCAGCCAGACTCTGGCTTCTCTCTGCCTTCTGTTTCTTAGTGCTGCATCAAAATTTAATACCCAGGAACCAGGAAGATTTTCCTGTGCCTTTCCCAACGTCTCACCAAACCCCACGCCACCCATGCCCACTTTTTAGCACAAGGCTGTGATTTTTTTTCTTTTTGTTGGTTTGTTTGGATGTTTTTTGTTTTTTGTTTTTTTTTTAAACATTCTTTTCAACAAAGTAGAATTTTAAATTTGTTTATTTATTTATTTATTTATTTTTGTCTTGTTTTGGTTTTTCGAGACAGGATTTCTCTGTATTACTTTGGAGCTTGTCCTAAAACTCGCTCCATAGACCAGGCTGGTCTCAAACTCACAGAGATTCACCTACCTCTGCCTCCGGAATGCTGGGATTAAAGGCATGCACCACCAATGCCCGTCTTGTTTATATGTTTTTAAATTTTATTAGTTGTATTTATTTTATTTTATGAGGGTTTTGCACTCAACTGTGTATGTGTACCCGCTGCATGCATGGTGTGTGCAGAGGTCAGGAGGGGGCACAGACCGGTTGGGACTGGAGTTAAGGATGGTTGTGAGCCACCATGTGGGTGCTGGGAACCAGGCTGCTGGGAAGAGCAGACTGTGGCCTTAACTGCTGAGCCATCCTTCAATAACAACTTGGTTGGTTTTTTGAAGAAAGGTCCCAGATAACCCAGCTTGCTATGGCATTGCTTGGGGATGACCTGAATTCCTGCTCCAGTTTTCGCGTCTCAAGAGCTGGGATTACTGGATGCTTCTTTTACTTTTCCACACTGCTTTCCCCTAGAAAAGCCAGTAAAATCCCAGTGGGAAAAGTCCCAGCCTAGTCTCAGAGAAACCCGGGGCACGAGGACAGTCAAACCGGGGTCAGAATAAGGCCACGTAGGAGGCAGTTGAGAGGGAGAGGCCCAGCTAGGACACTAACCGAAGTTCCGACCTTGGGAGAAGCATCTCTGTCTCCGAGCCTTAGTTTACTCTTCGGTGAAATGGGATTATTGCTGGGATGAAGTGAGTTCTAGGTAGGTGAGGGCCGGGAGGACCCTCCAGCAGATGTCTGCTCGTCTCTAAGTCAATTTTGCCCAGAATGCTAAGGGGCCCAGACTGGAGTCCAGTCTAAAACTAGGGAGGTGCAGTTCACCCTCTGCCCCGGGGACCGCGGTGTATCCCTCTCTCTCTCTCTCTTTCTCTCTCTCTCTCCCTCTCCCTCATCCTCTCCGTCTGTCTGTCTGTCTGTCTGTCTGTCTGTCTGGGGCCAATTTGCCATTTTTTCTACTGTTCCCGTAGTGACGCCGGCGGGCGCTAGGGGGAGCTGCAGGGCGGTTTCATGCTTCCACCGGGGCTGGGCTGGGCTTCTGAGTGGGTGCGGCGTCCGCTCTGGCCCCACCCAGACTCTTTCCCACAGTTTGTAGTGGGGTGGGCGGAGGTTCGACTCTCCACTCCCCCTCCATCTCACGGACCTCCAGGAGGGGTCATCATTACTCAGGCGCTACCCTGGTAGCGCTAGCAGACGGCTTGGGTCTCAGGAGACCTCTCTCAATCCTGCCCTGGAGAGAGGTGGCCTCATCCCTTTGCTCTGCTTCCCGAAGTGGGTAAGCACTTCCCCCCTAAGGCCAGCCCCCAACTATCCCCACACTCCCTACCTATTCCCTATCACTCTGCCCTCGCTCTGGGACCCACGGCAAGGAGGTCTCTAGAAGAACAGCAACACTTGTAAACTGTGAAGCTGGGACCCAGACACCCTGGACACCGCTGGACCCAGAGCGCCCACGGTTTTCAGTTTAAAGCAGACTCCCCGGCACACTCCCACACCTCCCCTTTCCACCCCGGCAGGTTAGCAAGGAGGTCAGGAGAGAACAGAAGGTGTCTCCCACAGCCCCTTCCAGCTTGCCCGGGGTGGGGCCTGGGCCTGGGGGCTTTGTTGAGCTAACATTTATGAATGGCTGGGCCCTGAATTTCCTCAGGCCTGGCTCAGGCTTGGCCAAGCATACCTAAAGAGGGAGCCCTAGGCACGGTCAGCTTTCTGCTCCCCAAGCGATGACTAGGTACTATAGCTCCCTTCCTACAGTGACACAGCCAAGGCAGTTTGTCCATGTATGGTTATGGAGGGCCAAGACCGTCGTTCAAGAGAGGATGAGGTACTTGCCCACCAAAGGTACCACATGGGTACCAGGCCTACTTTGGTGGATTACCAGCCTGAGGGTCCCTACGGAGCCCTCAGCAAGACTAATCCAGGGCACCTCAGCTTGCACCTAACTTTCCTCATCTATGAAACTGGACTTTTGCTGGAATCCATGAGGCCCAGGCTGGAAGGCCCCTCTCACCCTAGAACCCATCCTTGTGCCCTAATGAACCAGAATGAAGAGAACAAGAAGGTGTCTAGCCCCCAGGGGGTCTCCAGCAGGGGAAGGGAGGAAGAGGAGAGAGAGGGATCCTAGGCAGAGGTGGTAAAGAGCCTGCTCTGCAGCTGAACACACACACACACACACACACACACACACAGGCACACACACACACACCCGGCGCACGCACACACACAGGCACACACACACACACACCCGGCGCACACACAGGCACACACAGGCACACACACACCCGGGACGGAGTGTCTGGCTATGCTCAGCCTGCCCCTCTCCCTCCCCGTCCAAGTGTCCAGTTCCCACAGGGTTACCCACCCAACGCTCTGATTTGCTCAACCTAGGTTCTTAGGAGAGGTTAGAATGTCACTGGTCAGACCAAATTGTCCTCAGCACCTCAAGTCCCCACCAGGGGGGCCCATGGCCACCAGGAAGGGAGCCTTTATTTCTGCTTCAAACCACGGGACAAAGAGGGTACACTCCAGATGTGGGCCGTGGAGCAAAAAGGCGGGGGTTGAAGTCCTGGCCACACTGAACCGGAGAGGAAGCTTGGTGAGCTGGGGAGAGGAAGCTTGGTGAGCTGGGTGTCCTGGTGGGCCCTGTCGTTTCTGTGACTCAGCCGGTCCTCCTGGGATCAAGGCCCTGTCAGTGGTCAGGGAGCAGAGCCTGCCATACCCTTCCGGACCAGGGAATGCCTGGTGGCCAGAGCTGGCATTCTCCATGTCATTCAGCTGCTGCCTTCCCTGGGGCTCCTGGTGGGCTCGGGGAAGGAACTGCAAAAAAAACCAGACAAAATGCAAAGGCCTCTATATTGGTGATGAGCTGTAGCTGCTTTGGTCCTAGGGGCATAAGGTAAGCCCTTGGCACACATCTGGGTAGGACAGTCCTTTCTGCCCAGGGGCTGATAGAAAGGAAGGACACACCTGCTTTAGGGAGAGAGGAGGCTGAAGCCCGCCCTGGGAGCAGAAGCAGCCCTCCCCACCCTGTCCTACACTTCAGGGAAGGGTGACAGAGCCACCTCCGGTCCAAAGCCTCGGTCACCCAAGGGCCAGTCCCTGCTGCTGTCTCTGATGCTGGCCTGACAGAGGGCGAAGGAGTTTTGAGTAGAAGTGGGAGCTGTGGGCACAGACCCCTCCAGAGCCCAAGCTGCATGAGGGCTTTATGGGTGACCCCAGGCAGTGAGGTCTGGGGAGAGGGGGAGGTTTGTGGGGTTCTGAGCACCTTTCATGGGAGATGAGCTCACTTCCTCACAGGAGATTCTCCAGCAGCTTCCAGAAGTAAGGATTCCCACATGCCCAGAGCTTTCAGTGACTTAAGCACTCTAGAAGCCTCCACTGCCAGCCCGAGGGCTGATTCCCCTGCCCCGCCCTGCTCTAGAAGCTCCAGCCTTTCACCCATGTCCCCAAGTGTGCCCCTTTCCCCCGGCCCCTCCAGGGCCTTGTGGGCTATGGGTACTGTTCCAAAGGTCTTGACTCAAGAGAGAAGGAGAACAGAGAGCCGGCTGGGCTGGATGGCGGGAGAGGGCGCATTTCGCAGGCGATGGAGCCACAGGGCGTGTAAGGGACAGGTGCAGACAGATGGCAGGTGGTACAGTGGCTGGAGGGGCTGATGCTGGGGTGGGGTGCTGGGGTGTGAACTACTGCAGGGTTCCCACACCGACCACAGGCAGGCAGGAAGTGGCTGTGGTCTCTGAGGCAGGAGAAAAGTCTTCTCACTCACCCGCAGCAGCCTGGATCTGGGGGGCCCCCCTCTGGGTGCCCTCGGGGGGCCAGCGCAGCTCCCCACTTTCCACGGCACCCACTTCAGTGGGTTCCACCACAATAGAGGGCAGTCGCTGGCAGAGCCGTGAGCCTTTCTCCCGGACTCCTACTGCGGCCTAAGGGGAGAGTGGGTAAGGTTCCTGGTAATACTGGGCCATGGGCCTCTTCTGCCCCTGGCCTACTAGGAAGTTCAAGGACAGGCAGGACAGAGCAGCCTCTACCTTTTGTTACCACCGGGGAATAGACACCCAGGGAACACCGTGGCACTTAGCCGGGCTCAGACCCAGAGAAGCCGTTTCACAGACAGACCCTAAGACCACAGAGACCATGTCAGTTAGGAGGGAGACCAAGACTGGGCACCCCAGCTGCTTCCTGTACCTGGAACCCAGCACATTTCCTTTCTGGGGGCTTCCCTGCTGGGTCCTTGGCCTCCTCCCTCCACATGGCAAGCTGAGGAGCTAGGAAGACGTTGCCATGGCAATCAGAGCTGGCTCTCACTTATTGTTCAATGCCCACACCTCTGGCTGCGCTCAGCATCTCCATCTCCCATTCAAGGCTTTTCAGGGTTGAGGCTGTCTCACAGGGCTCCATCCCTTGGTGCCCCACGGTCTGACTTGTCTGTACTTCCCCACCTCTGTGTCCTCCTGGAGCTCTGGCAAAGACAGCCACCTAGTGTATGTGTACCTTCCCTGGGTGGCACACAGGTCTCCAGGCAGAGCAGGCTATTACACTGCCCCTGGATGGCCGCTTAGAGCCGCCGGACACTGGCCTCCCATACAAGCTTCCACACCAGGACCTTTCCAGCCAAGTGCTGCAGGTGACCCTGAGGCCTGAGGACAGGCGTCACCAGGCCGGGTCATCTGTGTAATGAAAGGACAGAGGGCCTCAGATGGCGGCAGAGCTGGACCCTCGTGGGGCTGACCCTATGTGGGCATTGCCAAGTCACGCCTCCATCCCCATCCTGGCTCCCTCCTCATGTGACATTTTGCTTCCTGCCCCTCAGCCGGGGTTCCGCCTTGAGGGTACGCACTATGGGAAGGTGGCCAGGCCCGTAGGACCTTCAGCGGAGCTGTGCCTATGAGTTCAGAGTCTAGGCTGTTCCTCCTTCACTGGCTCCAGTGACCTAACCCAGTTCTGGAACAGAGAACCCAGCTGCTGCTTTGGGCAGGGACTCTAGGCTCTCATCTGATTTTACTTCTGAAACAGGGTCTCATACCCCAGACAGGCCTGGAACCCTCTATGTAGCCAAGGCTGGTCTTGATCCTTCTGACTCACTCTCTAGACCACTAGGATCACAGGGGTGCATCGTGTACTGAAGTACAGGCTTAAACATTTGCTGCATCAACAACCGTGACAAAAACTGGGTCTGAGGGCACCCTAGAATTGCATCCCCCATGATGGGTGGTGGAGGCAGAGACAGGTGGATCTCTGTGATGTCAAGGCCACTCTGGTCTAAGTTCTAGGACAACCAGGGCAGTTACAGAGAAACCCTGCCTCAAAACAAACAAACAAACAAACAAACAAAATAATTGTATCACTCTGCAGAGAGCAAAGTGTGGTCATGTGCTTGGGAATAAGCCTTGATATCCCCAGGTCTAGAAGGGGTGCTAAGAAAGGCAGGGTAGCTTGCTTTCCAGCTTTACCCACCAGATTTCTATGAAAACAGCAGTGACCTCCCCACGTGGAAGGGCAGGCTGTGGCTAGGAGAGTTGGGAGGCGTCTGAAGTCATAGGCTAGAGCCTGAGGCTGGCTCCCTCTGGTCTCCCGCCACCGGTCAACCACGTACCTTCCCTGCGGGGCCTCCGGTGCCCTCTGTAGGACTCTCTGACTGTAGGATGCTCATGCTGCTGCCGATGTGGGCTACACAAAGACAAGGGCAGAGATGAGGTGTACACTGCAGCCGGTGTGAGCTGCCTGCCCTCCTCCTCCAGGACCCCACCCACCTCAGCCTCCCGTCTGGGGCCTGTGCTCACAGCTTAGGCCTGCTCTTTGCCTTGCTGGCCCCAGATGCTCCCTCATAGGAAGCGCAGCTGGACAGATGCCGCGTCCTCTGCTGTGGACAAGTGTGTCAAGAAGAGAGAGAGATGGACCCAGACTTGAGAGCCAGGGAGGCTTCCCCGAGGGAGGTGGCTGGCCTGAGGCCTCCCTAAAGGATCAACAGCAGACAGGCAGGGCAGAAGGAGGCAAGGGACAGAGAACACCCCGGACCTGGGGACCCAAACGGGTTTCAGAGTCAGGAGGCTGGGAGCATCTGGGACTGAGTTAGAGCCAGCCAGAGGCCAAAGTGCCCAGTTCCTCCCCAAGAACACCCCTCCACCCACAGACCCCTGAGAGCCTACCACCAGAGGAAAGCTGACGTCTTGCCTGAATGCGGCCGTGCTTACCCAGGCCAGCACTGGTGGGGGAGGTGGGGTCAGAGCCTCCACCGTGAGGACCCTGGAAGAAAGCATAAGGCTCACCCCCAGACTTTCCCCAGCACTACAGCAGGTAGGTTCTTGGGGCCCAGCCCAGGGGAAGAAATGAGGGTGGGATCTAACAGCCAGGGGCCAGGGTGAGGCCTGGGACCTGGGAGGAGACTAGACCAGGGCAAAGCAGAGACCGGACGGATGGAAAGCCTGAGCCCGAAACACCCTGCCGGGAGGGAAACAAATCCTTCGCCCCGTCCAAGGCAAAACAGAGACCAGCAGAATGGAATGTTCGAGACACCCTGCCGGGAGGCAGGTACTAGGGGAGGGGGTGCTCTAGCAAGGTCAGCTGCTAGTCTGAAAAATGAGGCTCCTTCTACCAAACGCCCACCTCGCTCAGCTCAAGTTCCATGCAATCCCAGAGAAATTTGGGAGGGGACACGTGCCTGTGATGGGCATTCCCAGGGCAGTAAGCAGCCACATCACAGCCATCAGTGCCTCCGTCCCAGAGCCCGCGGGATGCCCTGTGACCTGCTGTTCCCAGCCCTGGTTGGTACCCACTCAGGATCCTGCAAACCGCCGAGTTCGGGGAATCTCAGTTAAGCCCAGGACAGACACCCAAAGATGAGTGGGTGGGAGACGTTAGAAAAAGAGGGAGGGGTGAGTGACCCCAGAGCCATGCGAAGGGGTGTAGAGTGAAGGCGGGCGGGCGGAAAGGAGGAGGACAGTCCCAGGGGAAAATCTGGGGCCAAGATAGCGGCAAGGATGGAGCTACAATGGGGCCGCGGGCGAGGGCAAGTGCCCACAGGCTGCCTTGCTCTGGCCCAGCGCCTGGCGTCCAAAGCTCCCGCTGCGAGCGCCGCCCACACCCCACGCGCTCCGGGGCGTGGGGGAGGGTCCGGTGAGGAGGACCGCAGGCGCCGCAGGCATTACAGGACCTCTTGGTCCAGAGCCCCGCATTAGGTTGCCAAGCAGGACAGTGGGACCCACGCCCGTCCGTTCCCCGGATGCTCCCACTAACCCTTACTGCACTGGCCCGCCCGCCCGCCTCACCATGCACCCACCCCGGCTGCCTCGGTGCAACTTGGACGGGACCCAGAGGGTGAGGCTGGGGAGGGGGCGTTGCGCCTCCCGCACGCTCACCGCCACTCACCGCTAGCTCTTGCGGGGCCTCCACACCGCTCCGGAGCTCGCCTGCCTCGATCCTCCTCCGAGCTCTCCGCCCACACACACTCTGCTGCCCTCTGCTCTGCAGGGCCACCGGAAGGACCTGGCCTCCACCTCCCTAGACACCACTCTATTGCCAGAACCTGGTCCTGGCAACCTCAGAGCACCTCCCCCAGTCTCAAGATTAGAGTGTGATGTGCAGCTTCGTGTGGAGCCAGGTAGGTGAGGAGAGAGGGTTTCCTCCAACCCGGCACCGAGGGAAATGAAAAGGGTAGGAAGTGAGGCAGGTTGGAATTGTTCCGCCATTCCCTCTCACATACACGTCCAGAGTCCGGTTCCCCAGAATGTCTAAACAGCCCGGGACAGTTAGTCTGGTGAGCTAACCTGACACCCAAGGCATCATTCCGACACATGCGATCCACACAACCCCCCTTCTAGGATCCATTGTGAACCCTCTGATGTCCCAGTTCTCCCAGAGACCTAAAACCAACACCCAATTATCTAATTATCCAAATCACCCGGCACCCAGCCATTTAGCAGCAGCCATCATCTACCATCAACAGCCCAACTTCCATTCCATGGTCAATCATCCGCCCATCCTGCATCCGTCAGCTATCACCATCCAGCTAACATCCACTCACTACTACCTACCGCACAACGGTTCTGCTACATCCCCACATACTTACCCTGCATTGCATCCGGCATCCATCCATCCCTCGCTCGTCATCCACCCACTAGTAATTCATCCACCCATCTTCTTTCCATGATTCATTCATCTACTATCCTGATTATCCATCAAACGATACCTCTATGAACACCCCATCATGACCACACCCCACCCAACTACTGTGTACCCATATGTTCACCACCCACACGCAATTTACTAAACATCATCCATGGATGAAACAGCCATCCAACAGACATTCATTTACCACCCATTCATCTCTCCAGACTTATTCAGTGTTACAGGTTTCCATCAAATAACAACTTCTTGCATCCATGTGCCACTTACCTAATGTCAATTAGGATACTGTCTGTTTACTACTCATGTATCCTGAACTTTCTGCTAGCCTCCATCCAATCAGTCACAACTCATCACCTATAATTAGCCATCAGTTATCATCCATGTTTATATGAACCGCACTCCACCTCCATCCATCCACCCACTGACTTTATCCTCGTCTAACACATGTCTACCTGTTCAATATCCATCTCACAGTACCCACCCATCCATTATCTGTCATAATTCACTATTAATCTAAGTATCATTGGCCATCCTAGAAAATTTCACTGAGTTCCACTTCTGTGTCCAACATTGTTCTAGTCACTGGGGATGGCATTGTTCCTCCAACTAGCCTTCTAGTCCCTACCCACATGCCATCTCCATCTAGTACAATCATTTGATATTCACCTTCAGTGATTTCTCATTATCTATCCATTTGCCATTGGCCCATCTGTACATTAAATTATCCACTTACTATATACCACTTACTGCCTTCCGGTCAGCCACAATCTCCACGCTATCTACCCACCCATCATTCAGCTTTCATGAATGCATTTTCCAAGATGTAGTCATCAATTACTTAACCTTTCTCCACTCACCACATGCCTACCCTGAGCCATCCATTCATTGTTCACTTTCCATCATCCATCGACACTTTCCATCATCCATTGACACTCAACCTGTTACCTTTCCAGCCAGCAACCATAAATTTGACATTTATGATGGTTACTCTTGGTTGTAAACTTAACAGGATCTGAATCTACCGGAAGGCAAGTTTCTGGGTACAACTGTGAGGGCTTTTCTTGATTAGGTTGAAAGATCCACCCTAAGTATGGACAGTAGTTTTTGGTGGTGGACCAACCAAATACAAGGGGTTTGAGGGGAAGCCCTCGCCTGGTCGCCTTCACCTCCCACCGGTGGACTCCTTCACTTTGTGGCTGCTATTGGCATGGTTGCGGCCATTTTCACCGGCATCAGAACCCAGCTTCTTCAGCCTCCCTAGGTGATCTGAAGACCAGTGGCTCCCCAGGAATTCTCCAGGTCTTCGGAAGCAGATTAGGTGTCCAGCCTTGGGTGGTGAACAGCCAGTTTCCAGTCTCCCTTGTGGGAAAATGACCACTGTTGGACTTCTCAGACTGTATCAGGTAAGTTAATCAGATAACTCCCCCTTAATATATATTCCTCTAGAGGGTTCTAATACACATTTGTCTCCCATCCATGTCCCATCCACCTTCTACCTGACACTCATGATCCCCCATCAATCCTATACCCATCAGCACTTCCACATACTTTATTTGAACAGACTCATCACAATCAACTTACTAGTTATCCACCATGTATCTATACTTTATGATTTACCTACCAGATGTCCACCATCAGTCATCTGTTACCTACAGTCTACCAGTGGATGCATTCATTATCTACCCATGGACTCTTCATCCATATCCAGCACATCTTCTATCAATCTACAATTTACCTTTTCATCACCACTCAACCACCTTATATGAATACTTCTTCCCCCTTCCATCTCTCCAGCATGGAAGCACAACCACCTACCTCTTCCAGTGCCTGCCTAAACAATGTGCATATGTCCCACGTGCATTGTTCTACCCCTGTATCCAGCATCCGTCCCTCCACTACTCATCCAGCCACATAGTCCTCCACCCCACACGGCACCCTTCCAGGTAGTCATCTCTGATCCTTACATCATTGATAACGTACATCACTCAACTATTTTCCTTCACCTCTCTCTTTACACCTATTTCCATAATTTATCCTTTTTCTTACCACTCATTCATAAACCAAACATTCACTTACACATAAAATAAAGCAAATTAGTCTCTAAGCAAAAATTTAATATAAATAATGAACATTCATTGTTCAGTGCTGGATTCTGAAATCATTGAGATATATAAGAATCAATCTAAATTCATGGTCCAATGATCCACAAAGAGCCAATAAGTCAGCAAGAGGAGTGTTGGCATAAAAACGTGCATTTAGGGGCTGGAGAGATGGCTCAGTGGTAGCATGTACTATTCTTGCTAAGAACCCCACTTCTGGTACCAAAACCCGCATCAGGTGGCTCATGACCACTCGCTACCCCAGCTCTGGGGATCTGACACCTTCTTCTGACCTCCATGGAAACTCACACTCACGTGCACACAGCCACACATTCATACATGTAATTAAAAATAATAATAAATCTTTAAAAATTTACTTTGCCCTGAAATTTTAGTGCCTCCTTCTCTGGGGTATGGAGCCATGGAGCCGGTGA